AACACAAAAGCTCTAATGGAAATTTCTACCTGTGCATTTTTATACAGATAAAGGTCTGCTGGTTGAAGTGCGTGTCAACAAGGAGTGGTACACAGGCAAAGTTGTTGCCGTGGAGGCAAATAAAAAGAGTGTTCGCTGGAAAGTGAAGTTCGACTATGTACCTAGATCTACCCCTAAAGACAGATGGTAAGACGCTGTGTCTGCATTGCTGCATTCAGGACACATTTGTTGTTGACTTTGTCAGGTTTTAATATCGTACACATGTATGTGTGTGTTTGTGAAGGGTGTTTAAGGGTAGTGATGAAGTTCGGTTGATGCGGCCACCGTCTCCAATCTCTCAGACACCTGACACCCAACAGGAGACTGAGAAAGGGCCAGCACCCATGGAGCCCGACACTACTCAACCAGGGACCAGTCGAGAGGTGACCGACAGTCTGGTCACCATGTTGAGGTGAGCTGATAGTTAACTGCGGGGTGTACCATGAAGCAAGTCCAACAGAGCCATACTTACTTTGCTTTAGCTGGCTCGACAAACCATAAAGCCCCAGTCAGAGATAATGGGTTCCAAGAACGTGGTTATCACCTTGCTCTGTTAGCCCAGGTTTTCTTTTTCAGGCTCTGTGTGAGTCAAATGAAGTGGTCAGCACATTATTTGACTCCTTTTGGATTGCGTGCCACCTACTTCCATCTTTTTGAAGGCAATAAAAAATGTATTACACTAAAAAGCAACACTGTCCTATAATGAAGGATACAGAGATATCACTTGTAAGATTTTGACAAATCAAAGTCAAATCAATGTCATTGATTGAAAATTATCTGTGATTAATATCAGAAGACTAATCAATTTTCTAATCAATGTTCTATTAGCTGTAATATACCAGCAGTGTAAAACAGACTTTAGCAAATCAGGACCAAATATAAAAACACAATACCGCATTTCATAATCAAGTAAACATCATCCTGATTTGACTATGTATGTATAACCCTACCTGTGATTTTATTAAAGGCTTCTTTTAAAGCCAGCTTGAGCAAACAGACCACAGAACTCTACAAACACATTCAGTAGTTCAGTAAGAGCAAGAACAACCATGCAAATAAAATAAAACACTTCTTGCTCAGATTTTCTCCATCACAGATATAATTGCCAAAAGTCGCCAAAAACACAAACAAAAATATAATGTGATACATACAGTAAGCACTACTGTAATTGCACTGCTCCAGTCAGTGAGTGGCATTACTAATGTAACCTTACGGCTCAACGTGTTGGATTAACTGCATTTATAACTTATTACCCACCGCTTAGAATCTGTATCCCTCATAGATTGATCATTCAATATAGAATGATCCTATTCCCAAAGGAGTTGATCAGTGAAAGGCATTTTTTTTTACCTGTGGTTTGCCTGATCTAGTTACAGGCTCAATAATTTTATTTCTTTCAGACAGTGTGTCCAAGGTTGTCTGCAAACTGAAGCCAAAACTCTGAACATAATCTGGCCCTGATCAGTTTAGGTCTGCAGCAGAAGCCACTATGGCGATTTAGCCAGGTTAAGAGAGCCATCTTTGTGATACGGAAAACCCCCGGCTTTAGGCTCAACATACCTCGCTAACCCACTAATCTTGCTTTGTGTTACACCCCTCTGGTGTTTGTACATTATGACATCCAGGGCACACAGTTTCATAACACTGTGGTTTGTTCACTGTACTGTTTGTGTTCTCAGGACAATGCTGCGTTACTTCTTCCCTCCTGCTTTTCGGATCCAAAAGGAAGATGTTAATAGCATGACGGCTGAGGAGCTGGTGGCCTTTCCTTTGGTGAGATTTAAAATGGATGGTTAAATTTATTGATCCTTAGGCTAGAAAATTAAAAAAAAAAAATTGTAGTTTTACATAGAAAGCAATAAAATTATTTGAGAATGCAGAACTGTGTTTGCTGGGAAGCAGGTTGTGTCCAGCAATATTACACATGAATAATACATAACGCATTTAGGAGTGTGTTTACTATTGTGTTTTTTTTATTGTCTGGAGTATTGAGACCCTATGTGTTCCTCCATTTCAGAAAGAGTATTTCCAACAGTATGAATCAGGTCTCCAGTCGTTGTGTAACTCGTACCAGAGCAGAGCTGATGCCAGGGCAAAAGCTGTGGAAGAGAAGAGCAACATCAATGAGGTGAAACTGAAGGAGGCAGACGAGAAACTACAGAAACTACGAACAAACATTGTGGCACTGCTGCAAAAAGTACAAGAGGTAAGACTGCTTCATCCAACAAACAGGACATCTTCAGTGTGACAAAATACACTGCTCCCTCTTAGCTGTCTATCAAGTGGAATCTGTTATATAATTGTCGTTTGCAGTAAGTGACATTGCTTTTTTTTACACTTCTAGGACATTGACATAAACACAGATGACGAGCTTGACGCCTACATAGAGGACCTCCTTACCAAGGGTGATTAAAGAAGACAGAAAAGAGAAGAGTACATGCACATAAACAGACTGGCAGTGTTCATTCCAGCCATTATTTGCTGACGACTCCACAAAGACTTAGCTTATATGCAGAGTTGGCTGTTGATGAGTTTGTCTTGAGTTCTGTCTTGAATTTTGATCGTTCAGTCAGCAGCAGTTTGGTCTCTGAGTTTGGGCAGGTTCTCTGGTGTTTCTACATTGTTGGGTAGCCTGTAGTTTTCTCTTTAGTCCTTTTTATATTCCTGCTTATATATGTTAATCTATGTTTAAGCCATCTTATCCCAATTGACCTCTGAAATACTTTGTGTAGGTTTAATACATTTATGCTCCCTTTATATAGTCAGCTAACGCTATGACATCCTGCAGACTACATTTGTTTCCTGTTTTGGTCCATCGTCAGGTGAGATTTGGACGCACCGACTGACTGGACTGTGCTCTGCATTGCAGCCTGTACTTAAACATTAACTTTTATTTTTGTACACTAAAAACACGTCAGTGTTGCCCCTTTCCTTCCTCCATCCTGGTCTGTCGAAAAAACCAGGTTAATATTTTATGGTGGGGTGGTGTACCACGCCCACAAACAAGAACTACTTACTGGGTTTTATCAGTATGATTATTCCCTTATATCCCTCCTGCGTTAAAGCTATGACTGTTCAGTGTTTTATTTTGGAAGAAAAAAAAAACTCATTTAAATGCAAACCTTATGTGTTCATAATTATTCAGTGCCTGTGTCCTTCCTTTTGAACAGATTTTTAACATGTCATGGAAATGTTTTATTAAACGGTGCATGCTTCCCGTCTTTATGTTCTGATTGGAACAAAGGATTCTGTATTTTTGACAAATCTTTACTTCAAACAATAAAACAGGTTCAGCAACACACTTTGATGAATGCATTCCTGTTATTTATTTATGTTTGTGTATGCTAAGTAATAAAAAATTAGATTTTGGGAAATTTACATTTACATTTTAGATTTGAGTAAAAGTTAAAAAGAAATCTATTAAGCATTAGTTTCCATAAATACAACTCTGAAAGGGTCCAATCACCAAAGGATTTGATTTCATCTGGGTAAAATATAAGTGAATGGATTTTTGTTAGGTGCTCAGAGCACTGAAACATATAATTTAGTTGTTCAATTAAACAGTAATGTGTATTTTTTGTTTTTTTGTTTTTTTAAAAAAAATGAAATTCCATTGACCTAAAATGTGGAGGCAGAACTCCAAGAAAGATATCTTAAAATCTGGGGAAATGAAAACTACCGGAATATCTCTTTATTGTGTCATATGTAATTTGAGTATAGTGACCCTTTAACTGGACTTTTACTTTGAAGGCGATAGTTTGCCGCTGTGGTCAATGTAAACAGTGCTGGGCCAACTTCCGGTAAGGTTGCCAGTATTTCTCTTATATTTGTGAAGCTTATATGTTTACTATGCTGATAAATCCATTTTATTAAAGCAATTACAAATGGAAACTAAGTACTTATCAATGTAAACTGGGCAAAAGCGCCATTAACACGGATATATAAAAGCTTCGTAACTGTTAGTTAACGTTAGCTCACCGGCTGTTAATACTGTTGCAGAGCTCGGGTTATCAGGTTGCAGACAGAGTGGACACAACACTGCGCAGTTTGAGAAAGAAAGTCTAAGCTAACATTCAGGTTGGCAAAGTGTTGCCCGCATTAACTATTAGACTGTAATTAAAGTAAAATGAAATTACTGAGAAGCTAATATCTGCTCAAAAAAAGACAGCGGAGTAAAATGAACTTTGACCCATTTTGGTGATGTAGTTTGGCATGTGTCAGGTTGTTTTCAGTGTAATGGTGCTGGACATTTTTTAATGAATATCAATCAACTATACATAATGTGCGTTTATTTGGTGCCAGTAGATAACACTTTAACCCGGTGATGCTGATATTCGTTTGTCTGCTTTTGTGTGTTTGAAGGTATGGACTGAACTAGGTAGAAAGTACTGCCAACACTGATGCTTATCGAGGAGTGTGTGCTATCAAACTGCATTTTATTTACATTTTATTTTACAAGGGTATATTTGGTGGACATTTTAGCACTGTTTTAAATGTACAATATGTAAAAATATTGCTTCACAAGAGCCAGCAAGTCACCACTGCACTGTGCTTTCTCTGACAGTGGCTCATTCAGTAGTCCTTTACAGATGTTCACATGAGTTCCATGTTGGTTTGTGGTTTTCCATCAGTGTTTATGGTGACTGACTGATTTTAGGGGTGTGATAGTTTTGAATTATTTTAATTATTGGAAGAAATGTCTATGTTGAAAATATTTTATTGTAGAAAAGTATTACTTAAATGTTACCTACTTCTAGGTAAAATCATTTGCATATGAACAAAGACATGCTGTATGTTTGTTTATATGTAAGTGTTGCATTAAATGTTATATCTTGGTTTAGATAATCCTCTAAATTGCAAAATGATGTAAAACTAACATTTCTCTCTCCCTGCCATCACACAGTTGAATACTTTATCAGCTGGTGCTCTGCTGACTCCTCCACCTCTGCAAGCCTTGAGCCATGTCAGTGAGCTCACTTCTGCTGAACCGCCGTGCAGCTGCGGGCTGCTGCAGGGTGTTGTGTGGTGCTTCTCGACCACTTGTCCACGTTAGATTGGCCAGTGTAGCTGAGCCAGGCACAAGAAGATCCGAAGAAGAACAACTATGGGAGGCAGCAGGCTCTCTGCCGTTCTCCAGAGCCAAGATAGGATTTTTCTTTCAGGAGAGGCCAGTGCTGAAGAACCCATTTCTAGAGGATGCCTTGCTCAGGGGATACCTGAGGAGACACCTCCCCCAGGAGGTGAGGAGGGAGCAGCTATGCCTTTAGCTGCTGGTTGAAGTATACTAGACAAAAATTACCTAACGTTGTGTTGCATTTTGAGCCTTAGTAATGACATATTAGTTGTTAAGTGAGAAAGAGCATTTAAGTTCAAAGTCCTGTGTGTAGGATTTGGGGAATCTATTGACAGAAGTTCTATATAACATTCATAATTGTGTTTTCATTAGTCTATAATCAACTAAAAATAAGAATCATATTTTTGTTACTTTAGAGTTAGCCGTTTATATCTACATACAAAACGTGTCCTCTCCCACAAGGTCTGACATGTTTTTCTACAGTAGTCCAGACAAATCAAACACTGGCTCAAGATGGGGCCTTTCGCATTTTCATGTTGGCCACTGTAGTTCTCCTACATGCTACACTGGGTCCCCAGGAAGTGCGATGGGCTTTGAAGCCAATTTTCATAGTGGCCAGACAGTGGCATTACAACTTCCAGGTCCGTCATGTGATGCCATTGGGCCCAAAGAGACTTTTCCCATAGACTTACATTGTGAAAGAGATGTCTGTGAATCAGTGGATACATTTTTTTTGAGTGTCACAACCCCTGTGAAGTGAGGATTTGATCCACTCTCTCTGATAACATTTTAAAAGTCTAGAAGAGCTGCATGATAAAATCATTTTATCCCTATTCAGGTTCATGGAGGGCTTTATAAGAAGTTAGACACTCGGCTCGCAAAACTCTGCAGTGTGCTTGCTCTTCGGGCCAAACAAACAGTAGATTGAGGTTCATTTATACTCGGGAAGTCAACCTTTTTTGGCTTCATGTGCCACTGAGCAACATTCCTAGGACTGAAGCACTTGACACCATAACCAGTTCTCTTAGTACATCCATGCTTGGCACACAGGAGAAGTTTCAGTTCTGCAACTTCACCGCCAGATGCCACTGAATCCAACACACTGGACCTTTCAGTAATGATGTATGTATGTATAAGATACATATTATATTATAATATTACGTTTTGCTCCATAATCCATGTTACTAATATTTCTAAATTCCAACCAAAAGAACATGATTTGGTGATAGCTTGAGCCAACAACTGGACAAGATCTGTCTTGTCAGACATAAATAAGATGAGTTCTTGTTCATAATCTGTGTGACTGTATGTATATAAATCTGTTCACAGGCAGCTTTCTCAGACCTGTGTGCATTTGGAGAGCGAGTGGCAAATGAGGTGGACGAGTGGGGCCGAGAGTGTGAGGTTTCTCCTCCACGGTTGGTGCAGTTTGACCCCTGGGGTCGCAGAGTGGACCACATTGTGACCTCCCCAGCTTGGAAACGTATGAAAGACCTGTCAGCACAGGAAGGACTGGTTGCCATTGGCTATGAAAAGTCATTCAGAGAGTGGAGGTCAGGAGACTGGTGTACTTCCTCTTTCAGTTTAGCTCACCTGGCATATTTCAGTTTCATACACATTTCTTGTCAGTTTCAAATAGGAAGGTTTTGTTTCTAAATTAGGAACTAAGAGAACTTGTGTGTGTTCCAGTCGTGTGTACCAAATGAGCAAGCTGTACATCTTCTCCCCCTCCTCTGGGCTCTACACCTGTCCTCTGGCTATGACCGATGGAGCTGCTAAAGTCATCCAGGTGTGTCAGAAAAGGAAATTAACTAACATCGTGTACTGTATGTCATAAACCATCACCATCATTATATTGGTGGAGAAACTTGGATAATCTGTTTGGGTTAGTTTAACAGTAGCTGTGTTTACATGCACGCCAGTAACCAGATTATCACTTGGTTTCTGTAGCCTTTTAATATACATTTCTTAAAACCAATGTAAACAAACCTAATCCTTTTTTAAACAAGAGCACATGTGCATCTAAGAGGCAGTAACATTGCAAGGCTGCTGCAAGATGAAATGAAAGATCCTTTGTTGTAGCTTTATGCAAAATTCAATCCAGAATTAGAAATAAATAAGTTGTAAGCCTGCATTTCCACAGCTGAACAGTACAATGTATGTTAAGGTCCCAATAACCTCATTTTGAGCTTGTAAACATGTGAGTGATATTCTGGCTGTGTATGTGAAGTCCATAGGTGTTTCGTGGCCAGTAGATGAAGCCTACAGTCGTTTGACCACCCGTCAGCCTGAACGTTTCTGGACGTCTGGACAGTGGATGACAGAAAGACAAGGAGGATCTGACGTAGGTCAGTAGTTTATATTATTTATTTCATTTTTATTTTCCTTTATTTAGCCAGAAAGGCCCCACTGAGATACAGGATCTCTTCTTCCAAGGAGTCCTGGTCAAGATGGCAGCACAATCAACATAATCAGTGACACAGTCGTCTTACATGAAGCAGTATCAGCTTCAGCCCACATATAAAAGGCTACAGTACAACAACTGTCTGTATTTGACGGAGCCTTTGACAGTTGTTTAGATTTCATCAAGAAAAACTCCAGAAAATGTTAATAAATGTTATAGTGCGCACTGACTATATGTACCAGGAAATTTAATTTGACACACAGTTTATGCTGTGCAGAACAAGACTTAAATGTTGCCTCTCCATGTCTTGTATCTCCTCAGCCAGCGGAACAGAGACGGTGGCTGTTCCCCAGACAGATGGTTCATACAAACTACACGGCTTCAAGTGGTTCACCTCAGCTACAGACGCAGACATGACTCTCACGCTGGCCAGAGTGCAGGACAGAACAGGAGCAACCACACCGGTACTGCTTACATCCTCAGACATCAGTCCTCACTCTTCTTGACTGACTTAGAAAGTAATCTCACTGCACTGTATGTGTGCTTGTCTCTGTCCCACAGGGCAGCAGAGGTTTGTCTTTGTTTTACGCAGAGGTGAGTAGAGACGAGGATGGCCGGCTGAAAGGTATTGAGGTTCAGAGATTGAAGGACAAGCTGGGCACAAGACAGATGCCGACTGCTGAGCTGCTGCTGGACGGCTTGCCGGCACACAGGGTCAGTTACAGGTCATAATTTATTGCAGTAATGATAAACTTTAGATTCCTTGTCTGGTCCATGTAGATATGATCAATGCCCTCTGTTACAGCGAAGCCACACTTTTTAATATGTTTGAAAAGTGTGGCTACTTTTGCTGATTCATTATATTCCAAATAAATTAAGTTCCTTTAATAGACTGCTGTGCATAATAACACTGTTTTTAAAAAATAAATATATATTATGCTAGCCTGAGTTTTTTGGATTTGAATTTCCTTCAGCTTCAGCTCAAAATATTCTCAGTTAAAAAAAAAAAAAGGAGTCTAAAAACAATTTGCAAACAAGCAAAAAAAATACCTGTAGGCCTACCTTGCCCACAACATTTTAATTACAGCATGCTGCTGACTTGAAATCAAATAATTTCCATTTGCCATCGGCTGTTTCTCCACAAATATGTCAGACTTCAAAAGATTTTCCTGTTAAAAAAACTGTAATTACAGTAATTACAATTCTTTATGTTTTCAGCTCTCAGAGGAAGGTAGAGGTGTGGCCTCCATAGCAAACATGTTGACAATAACCCGGATCCACAACAGCATCTCTGCTGCAGCTGCAATGAGAAGGCAGGAAAATACTCATACTACTGCACTGAGTCCTGCGCTGATGTCCAAAAACATGCTGTAAATAAGCTGATTAATGATGTGTGTGTATGTGTGTGTGTGTGTGTGTGTGTGTGTGTGTGTGTGTGTGTGTGTGTGTTCACAGGGTGGTCCAGTTAGCTCGTGACTATGCCACCCGTCGCGCTGCCTTTGGAAAGCTTCTTAAAGACCACCCGCTGCACATGCAGACTCTGGCCAGGATGGAGGTGAGCTGGCAGGGCCTGAACAAACTACACAAACTCTATTCAAAGTTTCCCATCATGCCTCACTCATGCTTGCCTCTGACGTGGACAGGTGGAGACTCGTGGAGCGTTCCTCCTGGTGATGGATGTGTGTCGTCTGTTGGGCCGAGAGGAAAGCGGCATGGCGACGCAGCTTGATGCACACCTGCTGCGTCTGCTCACTCCTGTGGTCAAACTGTACACTGGGAAGCAGGTGCGTTGCTCTTACAAGTGTGATAATAAACCTGCTGTTTTCATAGAAACCCTCACTGTTTTTCTTGTGCTGTGTCTCAGGCTGTGGCTGTGGTGTCGGAGGGTTTGGAAAGCTTCGGTGGACAAGGCTACATCGAGGATACCGGGTTGCCTGGTCTACTTCGTGATGCACAGGTGAGGTCAATACATAAAAATCAACAGTATTTTAGAGTTTTTGCAATCTTGAACTTAACCTGTCTCTTTCCTTCTCAGGTGTTGAGTATATGGGAAGGTACCACAAATGTTCTGTCACTGGATGTGCTGCGCTGTGTGGCACGTAGCTCAGGAATGGTTCTTCATGCATACTTCAGCCATGTGAAGGTATGCGGTCAGGGATTGTTCCTGTCAAACAAGTTCAGGGACACATCTATGACGGAGTTGAACAGGAATGTAATGTGCACTTGTTTTCTTCTCTTTGCAGTCCCTGCTTGCAGGTGCATCAAGTGTTTCCTCGGTGGCCCCGGCTGTGAAAGCAATAAATGGTGCTCTCTCTGAGCTGGAGGACTTTATTCAGTTAGCAGCTACAAAATCACCTAGTTACCTGGAACTAGCAGCGAGAGACCTGGCATACAGCCTGGCTCGCACTTACACAGGTAAGAACCACAATCACACATTCCCTCCTCTCCCTTAAAAAAGTACATCACTGATTTAACGTTTGACTGCTATAATATTGGCTATGTCAACATTACAAGGCTCAAAGCTCAATTGCGAGTTTTTCCCCAAGTCTTATCTTTCTACACTGCTCACATTCATGTTTGAAGTGACCCATATCTGACGTGGGAACAAACCTCTGCACTGAAATGCCTCACATGCAACCAATAATGTCACACACACATGCGTTGGAACATCAACAAAAAAAACGCCACATTTGTAAAACAAGCATTCTGGGAAAAAAAATCAATAACATAGTGTTCTGTACATTAACAGGTGCCCTTCTCATCGACCATGCATGTTGGAAAGGATCCTCTTCATCTGACACCTATGCAGCTCTCAGGTAAAAAATAAATAGATAAATAAAAGAATGTTAGATTTATAATTCTTTTATTAAAAGCAGATTTTTATTTTCCTTCATCAGGTGGTGTGAACAAGACTTGTGTCCTGTGGCAACTAAACAGGCGAGGGGCTGCTATGAACCCAGCACAGCACCACTTGATGCTGCGCTGGTGTATGACCGACCTATCCAAGACTGAACTGTTCATAACGGAGATGACTAAGACTATGTTTTATAAAAAGTGAAACACAGAAATCAAACTGCAAATCGAGTTTCTAATACAATGTAGTTCCGTCAATGTGAAGCATTCATGTAATATGGTATTTATTATATTTCTAAGTCTACAATCAATCAATAGTTTTGTCTACAATAAATATGAAACTATAGATGCACAATTTTTGTAGCATTATAGTGATTTTTTAGAGGCCTGGATGAGTGAAAAAAAGTGAAGTGGATAAATAAAACATCAACCTAGGCTTTTTACAGCCATGAATACTTCAAACCACAACAGAAATACAAACCACATAATCACTGGTGCACAAATAGTGTTGGGAAGGTTACTTTTGAAATGTAAGGTGTAAATGCTAATAAATGTAATCACTAGTTACCCTGTTAAAAATGTATAAAGTAATGTCACTATTTTAATAACTTTCTCAAAGTGATGTAACTTATCTCTCATTTGAGTACTTTTCTAACAAGAGCGATAAAGCTGAAAAAATGCCCTGAAAAGTTCATGTCAAAAGACGCCATTCCTGCACAGCGAAAAGATGCAAAGCAACAGAATGAATGTTATATTCTACATATACAGTACAGGCCAAAAGTTTGGACACACCTTCTCATTCAATGCGTTTTCTTTATTTTCATGACTATTTACATTGTAGATTCTCACTGAAGGCATCAAAACTATGAATGAACACATGTGGAGTTATGTACTTAACAAAAAAAGGTGAAATAACTGAAAACATGTTTTATATTCTAGTTTCTTCAAAATAGCCACCCTTTGCTCTGATTACTGCTTTGCACACTCTTGGCATTCTCTCCATGAGCTTCAAGAGGTAGTCACCTGAAATGGTTTTCCAACAGTCTTGAAGGAGTTCCCAGAGGTGTTTAGCACTTGTTGGCCCCTTTGCCTTCACTCTGCGGTCCAGCTCACCCCAAACCATCTCGATTGGGTTCAGGTCCGGTGACTGTGGAGGCCAGGTCATCTGCCGCAGCACTCCATCACTCTCCTTCTTGGTCAAATAGCCCTTACACAGCCTGGAGGTGTGTTTGGGGTCATTGTCCTGTTGAAAAATAAATGATCGTCCAACTAAACTCAAACCGGATGGGATGGCATGTCGCTGCAGGATGCTGTGGTAGCCATGCTGGTTCAGTGTGCCTTCAATTTTGAATAAATCCCCAACAGTGTCACCAGCAAAACACCCCCACACCATCACACCTCCTCCTCCATGCTTCACAGTGGGAACCAGGCATGTGGAATCCATCCGTTCACCTTTTCTGCATCTCACAAAGACACGGCGGTTGGAACCAAAGATCTCAAATTTGGACTCATCAGACCAAAGCACAGATTTCCACTGGTCTAATGTCCATTCCTTGTGTTTCTTGGCCCAAACAAATCTCTTCTGCTTGTTGCCTCTCCTTAGCAGTGGTTTCCTAGCAGCTATTTGACCATGAAGGCCTGATTCGCGCAGTCTCCTCTTAACAGTTGTTCTAGAGATGGGTCTGCTGCTAGAACTCTGTGTGGCATTCATCTGGTCTCTGATCTGAGCTGCTGTTAACTTGCGATTTCTGAGGCTGGTGACTCGGATGAACTTATCCTCAGAAGCAGAGGTGACTCTTGGTCTTCCTTTCCTGGGTCTGTCCTCATGTGTGCCAGTTTCATTGTAGCGCTTGATGGTTTTTGCGACTCCACTTGGGGACACATTTAAAGTTTTTGCAATTTTCCGGACTGACTGACCTTCATTTCTTAAAGTAATGATGGTCACTCATTTTTCTTTAGTTAGCTGATTGGTTCTTGCCATAATATGAATTTTAACAGTTGTCCAATAGGGCTGTCAGCTGTGTATTAACCTGACTTCTGCACAACACAACTGATGATCCCAACCCCATTGATAAAGCAAGAAATTCCACTAATTAACCCTGATAAGGCACACCTGTGAAGTGGAAACCATTTCAGGTGACTACCTCTTGAAGCTCATGGAGAGAATGCCAAGAGTGTGCAAAGCAGTAATCAGAGCAAAGGGTGGCTATTTTGAAGAAACTAGAATATAAAACATGTTTTCAGTTATTTCACCTTTTTTTGTTAAGTACATAACTCCACATGTGTTCATTCATAGTTTTGATGCCTTCAGTGAGAATCTACAATGTAAATAGTCATGAAAATAAAGAAAACGCATTGAATGAGAAGGTGTGTCCAAACTTTTGGCCTGTACTGTAAACTTACCGAAAAAATTATATTCCAATGTAACCCCTTTGTAGTCGGCAACATTTTGATTAGTAACTGTAATTTCATTTCTTTCTTTTTTCTGCAGTATATGTAATTTATTTCATCTATTTTGTAATTTAGTTACATGTAACTAGTTACATTTAACTTGTGTGAAGTCTACATGATACTTAGCACAACAAGTCAGAGGCATTTGGAGCAGGAGGGGCTGAGTACATGCTGCCTTCCTGGCTGTGGGAGAAAATGCATGCGTAAGCTCCAAACTGTGAAAAACGTGAACTTTGCAATTTAATTTTTACAATTCTGTTGAACTGTACTTTTTATTTTTTTTATTAATTATTTTGTGTCTTTACTCTGTTTTATTGCGCCAAACTGTATATCTGAAATTAAATGAGTACCAAGCATGCTAACGATACTACTAAATGATTAAATGGTGTACAGCATTTGTTCGAAAATAAATTAATAAAGAATGTGTACGCCCGCTTAAAGTTTTTCCACTTCTCTATATGTTTTTTTTTAATCATTATTATTTTGTATTTCGGTATCCCTTTTTTTTTTATTTGTTTCTTTGTTTGCTTGTGCAAATTCAGATTTTTCGCGGTGTCCCTGAAGGCAGCACACGTCTGGTTGGGAAAACAGTAGGTGGGGTTTCAGGCGAAGGTGTACACAGTGTACACGTACCTGGAACATGAGTAGTGCTTAAAAAAAGACCTGAAGAAAATAATCAGAAATATTAAAGTGAAGCTAAGGCTACGACAACAGCAGCGACGTTTATTTGAATCCGTTTTCTGGCTTTATTTAGGCTAAAACGTGCGGATTGTAGGAGTGAAACAACCCACCACAGTCCTGTCCAGCAGAATGGACGCAGCTCCAGGATAAAGTAAACCATGTCTCCTACTGTTTACCTGTCTCTGCTGCTGGTGTTATTGTGTCACCAGCGGGTCACCTCGGGGTCACATGTCCTCAGGAACCAGCCTGGTGTCGGAATTGCCGGGCGGTCTTCAAACTCAACACTAGTCACGATGTATCACAGCAGCAGCGATGAGGTGAGTGAGATTTATTAACCACCAAATCAACATGTTCACTTGCATTCATGTGAAATGTAGCTGCCACGTGTATGTGTGTTTGTGCTGGTTGTTTACTGGTAAACATCTGTGCGCAGTTTGATTTACAGCTGACAGGTTGTCAGCAGGTTTTTCCAGCTGTCACATGATTAGTGTGATGTCATGAATGAAGTTTAACAGCTCTGGTAAATGTGACACGTGCGTGTTCACATCAGGGCAGATGTCATGTCCTCCAGATACAGGTGGTTAGATATATCTAGATATGGTCTCTGTGTAGTCTACACTGAGGGACAGTGTACAGTGTGATAGTGTGGCTGAAGATAACTATTTCCTACTTTACTCCCATTCAAATGAAGGCCTGTGTATGTTTGTCTTTTCAAAATAAAACCAGCATTGATTAAGAAATAATAAGAAATCCCATCACAATTAAAGAGACCTCATCAAGACTGGGTTACCAACCAGGCAATGCTGACCCCAGATACTCAGGGTGCCCATAGGACCCAGGTCCACTGTGTATCAGTCTGTGGTCATTTGTTTTGGGGAATATGCACCACTAAAGCACAATATAGGAAGAAATGGGAAAAAATTAGGCCGCTGTATGCAATGCTACATAACAATGAGCAGGACTGCTTTTATATATTTTGCAACAATGCAATGAAGCTCTTTTCTGTCAAGCATTTAATCTGCTGTAATAGTTTCTATTTTATCCTTAGTGCCCACTCTGAATTGATATTATGTCTACCTGCTGCATATCCCTCAATAATTTTGTGTTTGATTAAATTACATCAACTGGTTGTCTGCTAAGCAAAATATTACAAAGTTTCTACATGTTGTTTGGAGTGTGTGGTGTATCTGATGGGTACTTGACACAACAAAATACACACACAATGAGATAAGGGGAAAATGGGGACCCACTGATCAATTTGAGATGTTAAAAATGTATATTATGAATGAATATATATAGTTTGAGGTGTTTAGATAAATAAGTAGGAAACTGATGTCTGTCTTTTCTTCTTGTTTGTTTGTTCAGTGTGACCATGTGATGAACGTCAGCGCTGCAGACCGCTGTGCATTTGTGAAGAGTACACCAGACTGTAACATGGAGGATAGCTTCATCAACTACCTTAATGTGGCTTTCTGTCTGCTTCGGCCCAACCTCACACCTCTCACCATCACTCTCTGTGTAAGACCAGTGTGTGTGTATGTATGTGTTAGGGTGAGGACAGTTTGAAACTCTGCTGCTCAGCACCAGCTGATCTTTTGAGGAAGATGACTTTGCTGTGGGAGAACCAGGAATTTTAAAACTTCTGATTTACCGCAATCAGTCATTTCTCTCTTTGCTAAATCATGGATTTTTGTAAGAAAGTAAAAACTTCCTGATTTGCCCTCTTTGCATCACAACAATTCAAACTGTCATTCTGAAAACAGCATTAAGTACATTGTCTGGGGGAAGAACAGACAAGGGAGATTTTGCTAAATCTACCAGGGAAAATCTGTCAGTGTAGTAAATAATTAGTCCACACTGCAGTTTAGGAACAATAGGATCAGTGTGGTCAAACAAGGCCATGTTTTTAGAGGGTCAACTTGTTCAACCTGGTTCTTGTTTGTAGAGCATTTATCTGAGAGTGACAGACTCAAGCAGCACTTCTGTCCTCTCTGAGTGTGTGTTAAGAAACCGTATCAGACCTTTACTTTCCTCTGCTTCTCCACAGATTATTTGGCTAATCTTTTTGTTCGTCATTCTCGGGCTCACGGCATCTAAGTTGTAAGTGTCTCTCATGTTGCCAGTGTCAATATTTGCATCCCACAAGTTCCCCTTTGCAAGACAGCAAGCTGAGATCTTTCATTTTCATTGATTCGTTTCAGTCATGGCGAGTATTACGCCATG